CGCGGGGATGCTCGCCCGTCCCCGGGGGTGCCCACCCGGCCGCGGGGAGGCTCACCCCCCTGCACGCCGACCCCTTCGCTCCTGACGCTCTCCAGCCCAACGCAGGAAAAGTGTCTGAAAAAGAGGGTCACAGCCCCGCAAGCCACGGGAGAAGAAGTGGCTCCAGGCAGTATGCACACGGCTGAAAGCGTCTCTTAAAAAGCTCCAAAACCACAAACACTGTTCAACAAAAGCCCCCCTCCCTGTAAAACCCCAGCTGTAAAAAGTGGCAGCGCTGTGCAGCTGGTGCATCCCCCGCTGCCGAGGGGCACAGCAGCCAGTGCGGCCACAGGGACCCGTGCAGGGACACGCGCCTGTATCCCTGACATGCGGGGCCTCTCCACGTTGTGGAGGCTGCACAGGCTCCATCCCCACTGCCAGCCGTGGCGAGGATGTGCCCTGCGCTCTTGTGGCTGTCCCCAGGGCAGGTCCCTGAGCAGGGGGGGCTGGGGGCCGTAGGGACAGACTCCCCAAGTGCTTCCAGACACGGTGACAGGGATGAGCAGCTCTCCACTGCAGGCATGGTTGGCCCAGTCTCTCCTGTTTGTGATCTGTCCTGGTGCCCCGTGTGGCCATGTCCTCCCAGGTCCAGGGCACTCACGGCACGGCAGCGGGGCAGAGAGGACAGGTGCTGTGGCAGGCTGGGCTGAATGTTCCCACCCCGGTCAGCCACAGGGACTGGCACATGCACGACCATGGGCTGGTCAGAGCTTGGCCAAACCCTGGTCAGGCAAAGTGGCAGCACCGTGATGCACCAGCATTTCTCCAGCATGGGGAGCAATGCTGCTGCTCAGGACACAAGCCACACCAGAGCTCAGGGCAGCCAGCAGCAAACTGCCTGTGCCCACCCTGAGCCATCTCCAGACCTGTACCACAGGCAGAAGATGCCTCGGGAGCAGCCACCACTGGCTGGGAAGAGCCATGTGCTTCCTGCCAAAAGCCACCAAGCACAGAGACATGGCACCCATCTCACATCCCGAGACACCTCCATTGGGCCAGGCTGGTGGGGCACCCCAAGCTGGCAGGGGGACCCCAGGCAAAGGAGAAGCCTTGCCCCAGTGTGCAGTGCTCCATCACCACTCACCCTGGTCCCAGGAGCTCCACACACCAGCAGCAGGTTTCTTGGGATGCTGGGGCAGGGACCCCTCCCCACGGCACCCCTGCCCCGCCAGTGCAGGCTGTGGCTCACTCCATGGCGGGGCCGGCACGGGAGCAGCACCGGGGCCGCCGGATGTTTTGCAGCAGAGCCCGAAAGATGCTGGGCTGCCTCTTGGCCTCGCCTTTGCGGGGAGCTCCCTTGACAGAGCTGGTGCGGGTGCTCTGCAGTGTCATCACCACCTGCCGCCCATGCTCCTCGATCTGCTTCTCCAGGTGCTTCTGGATGGCCATGCCCAGCACCTCCATCTCCATGGAGGCTCCATACACCTGCCATGTCATCCCCTTTTCATCCCAGCTCACCTCCTGGATTGCTTCCGGAGCCTCCTCTTCCACTGTCCCCTTCACGTGCACCTCGGGGTATGAGGCCTGAGGGGACTTGGCCACTGGTGTCATGGGCCCAGTAGCCACAGAGCGGGTCTCCACGGGCATGGACACCTGCATCTCTGCATCCTTCCTGGAGGGCTCCAGGCGTGGGGGGGCAGCAGAGCCCAGCTCTCTCTTGGGGAAGGTGAAGGCAACAGCCCCACCTGGGGGGCTCATGGGGCTCAAAGCCACTGACACCAGCGATGCTCGGCTGTCCACTTGCGTCCCCATGTCCTGTGTCCCAGCATCTTGTGGTGGGGTCACCTCGAAAGAGTAGGACTCGCAGAGCAGCTTGGCTGTCCGGGGCTGCTGGCTACTCCCGGCATCTGCACCCTGTGTTGGGCTCCCCTCAGCTCTGCCCTGGCACGGCACAGCGGGGCTCAGCCCTGCCTCACGTTGTCCCCCGCTCCCCACAGTGCTGGCATCAGGGATGTCTGCTGTGCCCCCCTGGGGGTGCTTCAGAGCCTCAACACCCTCTGCTTGAGATGCAGCAGCCAGGGACGTTCCTGTGTCACTCTGGACCTGCTCGTGGTTTGGCAGCTCAGCTGCTCCAGCACCCACAGCAGGCTCCACAAATGCCACATGTTTGGCTGGGGCCGGCGTGCTCCCCACATCCTTGCTGGGTGCTTTGAGGCAGGACTCAGGTATGGGAGCAATGGGGGTTATGTTCTCCCTCTGGATACTGGGACCCGCCATCCCCATGGGACCACAGGCAGGGACAGCACCGCTTGGTCCTTCGCAGCTCCCTATTGCTGCTGCCATGCTTGGCTCTTTGTCAGCATCCGGGAGAAGTGTGCCAGGAGCTGGTCCTGTCGGCGACGGCACCTTCTTCTCCACCACTGGGCCAGCCCTGGTGCCCTGAGCCTCTGGCTGAACAGCACAGCAGGTCCTCATGGCACGGTCCTCCGGGGCACAGCCAGAGCCAGGCAGGCACTCACCCACTGGCAGGCAGCCTGGGGAACTGGTGCCAGGCTCACAGGTGTCCTCAACCCCGGCCTGGTGGCTCAGCAGCTGCAGCCCCTTCGTCTCCTTAGTGCTGCCCATGCCTGGGGAAGGCTTCTCCCATGCTAGTCCTGCCACAGGTCTGCAAGAGAGAGGTTGGGGCAGTGAGGGGGGGAGCAGTACAGACATCACAAGACACCCCCAGCTGCCAACTGTTTTTCTCCACACCACTCATGACAATGGGCTTGGTGGCTGCCCAGAGCACCCACCAGCCCCAACACAGCCTGTGCGGTGGCACCCGCTGCCCAGCCCTGCAGGAAGGGAGAAGCAGTGTCAGCTGCCTAACACAAAATTCAGCCTTACCCCAGCAGTCTGAACCGGGAGTAGGATTCAGGTGCTGCTGCAGCTGCTAGAGCCAGGAGATGTGGTGCAGGCACTCCTGCAGAGATAGCAACAGGCACCCGAGAGCCTGAGGGGGCTCGACACCTCCCACCTGCCGGCAAGGAGCTGGGCCTAGCATGGCCTAGGGGCCAAGGGGGGCTGCAGCACACAGCAGGGGTGTGGTGGCAGCCTAAGCCCTACCCTCTGCTCACTGGGACCAGCATCCCTGGAGCTAGGAGTCATACACGCCTTTGGGCCACAGGAAACCCAAGCTCAGCACCTACACCCCATGTCGAGGGTGTGCTGAGATTCTGCCACGCAGTACAGAGCAGGCTGCAGGCAGGTACCCCGGCACAGAGGGGAGACACAGACTGGTGTTGCCCAGCCAGCTCCAAACCCTCCCCAGGCCCATGGGGCAGCCCTGTGGCAGACACATGGCAGGAAGACCCAAGATCTCCAGAAGCCCCCCCAGCTCTGCCAATGCTACCGAGTCCCTGCGGAGGTGGGAGCTGAGAGCACATGTGTCCCACAGCCATGGGGCAATCCACACCTCTGGCCATGGCCACTCAGGGAACCTGGAGAAGGCAGAGCCGAGCAGACACGGTAAGTTCCCCCAAGGGAAGCAGCAGGAGAAGGGACCAGGCTGGCACCGAACTCCCATGAGGCCGCCCAGCAGCACAGGGGCTCCGGAGACAATGAACGCTCCCCATCCCTGTGTTCCCACGCAGCACCCCGTTCCCGGGGGGTCCGTGCCGCCCCGCACCCCGGCCTGCCCTGACAGCGCCCGGGGGGGCTGCGGGAGCCCTGCCCGGACCAGAGCTGGCCGTGCTGCTCCGGTGCTGCTGCTTCACGGAGGAGCTACGAGACCAGGCACACGCGTGTACACACGCAGCAGCACGCGCACACGCACACACACGCGTGTGCACACGCACAGACACGCACACCCCGGCACATGGCCACGGGCACACCCGCAAGCATTGAACACGCGTGTGCACGCCTCGGCCCCG